GGACATATGAGAACTTGTACTGTAATGTCATGTAACTCAGTAATGTCCCAAATTTTCTGATCAAGGAGATTATGGGGAAAAGAAGAAAGTGATCGATGATGTAGAGTGTGCCTAAGGAGAGTCATATGGAGAGAAAACATTCTCTCAGACTTTCACAGAGAGCACATTGGCCTAGCAATGGCCATGACTCATCCACATGGCTGACGCTGACAAAGGATGTACAATCTGAGGTACAGGATCTCAGGATAAATCCTGAGGGGATTTCACTGACCTTATCAGACCCAAAAGCTACAACCCTTGTTGCATAGGTCTTGCTTTATCTTGGTCTTAACCATCCAGCAGAAAAGTATAAAAACAAAATATAAGAAATAAAGCCATGCTGTTAAGTTGAGCTGTGGGGGACTCAGGTCAATAATTTCTGACATTGCCAGTTAAACAGAAGACCCAACGCTATTATGGGTTACTGGACTCTTTTAGAATATTTTGCTGAGTTTACATACCCATAATATTCAAATAACGGAACTTAACAAAAAAAGGGTATACAGCAGAATATCCATTTTGTATCTGTGTGTTCAAAGTGGTTAGGATAGATATATAGTTACAGTCTCTTAATGAATAGAGTGATTTGTTCTATTGGTGTTTGTAAATAGGATATCATGTCCGCATCTTGTATAGCAATTAACCACTAGGAAGAATGTATGCAATGTGTTCATTATTGAAATTGTCCTACCAATTTGATTTGAAACTGTCTCATTGCTATTTGTTTCTCAATAAAATTATGGCAAAAAAAGAAACCCAGAAGGAGCTGCTGAATTGCTGCAAAGATTGTCTGCAGAGGAGAAGTGCCTGGCGCTTCCCAGAGAACAAGCCAGGCTTCCTGTCCCTTGTCCTTCTGCAAAGACTAATTTTAAGTTTTCTATGACTCCTGTGAGTTGCATGTTAATTTGATCCAGAGACAGTGGACACTGTAGGTACAAAGTAGATGATATATAATATGAAGGACCAGAAAAGAAATTATTAAATTCCTTGTATCTGGCAATAATTTTGTTTTTGCTTTAAAATGACAGTAAATAAATTTTTGCCACTCTCAAGAAAATAAAGAAGAAACATTCTCCCCCATGTTTCCTAGTCTTTGGTGATAGTTCTGAGTATTTCCTATAAAATAGGCTCACTTTGAATTCCTGGACCTGATCTTATTTGAAAGGACAGCTGGTAATGGTACTTTTATCATTAATATCAGCACTTTTGAGAACTTCAAGGAAGGACATCAGTGCTGGTGAGGCCATGGTGCATGCTCCATGGCAGACTGGGGTGCCCTCTCTGTAGCAGTCTGCCAAGTTGCCCCAACATCTGAGTATTCAGGTTTAATTGCAGGGATTGCACTTTGAAAAACATAAGTAATTTGGGCATTTGGTGTCTAAAAGGTTCACCATCACTGATATGCAGGAGTCAAAGACGCCAAAGTAATATGGTCTAACTGTAATATGGTCTCCATGGCCACTCCAATACTAATGCTTGCACCTTTGCTCCTTATTTTTCCATTTTTCTAATCCTCACTTTCATAGCACATCCCTTTTTGTAATGCATATGCTAGACATATCTTTTGTTTACCTTATCCCAATTCTTCTTTCTCTGAGGTCTTTCTGTTTGCTACGGTTCATCTCAATTTTATCTCTCTGGGTTTTAAGCAGCTTGGAATGCCCTTGACTAGAAATGCCCAAGGTCACTGCTTGGTTCTGTAGGTGGCTGATACGAACTGTGTTTGATGTCTGTGCTTGGCAGGAATATACCTTCTCACCTCACTATAGGATTTTTGTTAGGTTCCAGGAACCTAAGAACGGCACTACTGGTTATAAACTTGATGGCAGAGAATTAAATGAGCTATTTAGTGAGAAAGGAGAGCACAAGAAGCTAGAAGAGAGATATACATAGCTGATGCAGGAAAGAATGATCCTTCCAGAAAATCGAGTTCATCTAACAGGGTGCTGTCTGGAATGGTGACAGAAAATCATGAATACCTGCTCTTTTCTCTCCATGAACTTGCCCATGCTTTTCTGTGACAGTCCTTAAGAGTCACTTCTCTAAAACTGCAAACAAAGGGGATGCACACTCAAAGGAGACACACACAGGATAGTGGGAATGTCAACTGTAACAGCTGGTAGATTCTCTTGGGAAAGCAGCTTAATGTTCATATTCTGACACATTCAATGCTTCTTTTGAATATTTGTTCCAGGAAACTAAAATAAATCAGCAAAACCACATGTATGATTTTTTAGACATCCATGAAGTCTTTATAGCAATATGCAGCTAGCTAAAACATTAGGAAAAAGTCCATAATGCATGAATCAGTAGTCTGAGTACAACCTTGGACAAAGGCTAGAATCAAAATTGTGATGGTAAGATTATCTGATATGTCTTTGAAGAACTATTCAGTCTATTATTTAAATATAGAGTGAAAAATTAAAACATGATAATTATTTAGTTAAGTGGGTGTTAAGAAGGATGTTTTTTATCTCTAGCATATTTCAAGTGATATGACTTACAATTTTTATACCTGTGGAACATAAACATTCTTAGGTTATGATACATAGGATTTTTTTTAGTCTGGTTTACAGAATCACATTTACGGAACTTTATAATGTTATAATTAAATGAATGTTTAATTCAAGATTTTCATTTAAAGTTCAACATTTTATAAGTTTGGGAGCTGAGCCATAATCTTTCTTTCTGCCTTAACCACAAACCATACTTTATAATTAAAAAGGAAAACCACCCAATGTTATACTTAGTATTATCATCTCTATTTATTATTAAATGTGTTATATTAGGCCCAATATTATGTGATTTATATAGATATCATTTTTCCTCCTTTTCACAGTCCCCCTGAAATGTAGTTATCATCTTACAGATTCACAAAGTCTCTTGCCTGAGATTAAATCCTAATAACCAATGGTTACACAAAGTTTATAATGTGCTAGGCAATTTGCATATAACAGGCACTTTACATATATTAACTCATTTAATCCCGGAAACTACATTATTAGATGGATAACAATTACATTCCCACCAAAGAGGTGAGGCAACCAACTGCAAGGTGAGATACCTTGTCCAAGGTCTTGGCTTGGCATATACTAGTGGAGAGATTCAAACTCTAGAGACTCTTCCCTAAATCACTGCTCATTGCCCCTCGATGGGCAATGAGTTGGTTCTATCTGGTTTGTAATTTTGGCAAATGCTTTTTTCCCTATTCCATATTGTACCTACTTTGACAGATGAGAAATCTCAAACCAAGGTTGAGTGCTTATCCTTGGTCATTTGACTAATGGTTGGGAATTACCTTCTTCACCTCTAATTTGTTGATATCCTATTATCCCAGACTGCTGGGAATGAAAAGAAAAATATCCACCTAAGAACAAAAGCAAATGAAACAATGCCCTAGGGAAATTAAGTCCAAGACTTTTTTAAAAAAAGTTCAAAATCTTCTTTGGCTCTCTTCCTGCCATGTATTTTAATGTGATTCTGCCCTACAGGTACCGGCTGATTCCTGTCTTTAGGAACCCATGACCTACTTGGGATGCGGAAGCAGGAACGTGAAGGAGGGGCTTCTGGGAGACGTGGGCACCTGACTGAACCTGTGGTTCTAGGACTTGGCCAAACTGCACGCGTGGTTGTATTGTATGTTTTTATGTGGAAAATGGCATGCCATTTTCTGATTTTTTAAAGAGTTTCTTGAGAAAAACTGACCTTAGAGAGTCTGAAGGTTAGCTGTGTGTCTACTCGGGTAATTCACAGTATACTTATCTGAAGTATTGATGTGATCGTATTTTGTAGACAAAATTAACATCAGACTTTAGGTAGACTTTAGATTCATGTTAAGATATTAGTTCATGTCATTGTGTGGGCTTGCAAGTGTGAAATCTATAGGTCATATGAGCTAGAATCTCAGGGAGGAGTTAAAGCTATAGAATGTCTAGAGGCAGAATTTTTCCTCAGGAAATTTCAGTTGTTATTCTTAAGGCTTTCAAAGGATTGGATGAAATATAGCCAAGTTACCAAAAACAACCATTTTACCTGAAGGATAATGTTAATTAGATCATGATTCATGATTTGTCTGACATGTAGATTTGTGTGCTTAGCATTCTTATAATAATACAATCCTGGCTAGACCTTATAATAATACAATCCAGGGTTCTCCAGAGGAAGAGGGCCAACTAACTAATCCAACTACCGACTAAAACCTCTGTGAACTGTGAGCCAAATAAACCTTTTTCCTTTAACTGTGGGAGTCAGGTATTTTGTCTCAGCAATGAGAAAAGTAACTAAAGCATTTGCTCATCCATCTACCCATCCATCGATCCATCTTCTTGGCCTTCTTTCTCTAAGAACTCTGCCTGAGATATAGGTCTGGCAGGGATTGCATTACATTATAAGAATGCTAAGCACACAAATCTACATCACAGACAAATCATGAAAACTAGATATGGCATAAAAATAGAGAGATAAAAGTTTGGGTGCATATTAGATGCTTCCACCTACACATGACATTATATGCCTTCACCTAGGCAGGATCCAGATCCCCTTAATCTCAACCGACACATAATTAACAGCATTATCCCAGTCAGAACTGAGCAGAATATGCTTGATGGGCAGCACAGAATCAAGAAGCTGTTGGTCCCAGTAGCAACAGGAAGACAGCTTGAAGTAAACAGCATGCACTCCCAGCATTCTGGGAGTACTGACAGAATACCTTGGTCATTGCTGATGGTGAGGCACAGGCCTCCCTGGGGCCCTGGAGAGTGAGCAAAGGCATGCAGAGCATTTCTGCTTCTTCACTTCAGTACTTCCTAGCCTGGGGAAGGGTTAGGGTTTAAGACTGATCCTTTTAGAAGCAAATAAGGCCTTTAGAATTTATTCCTCAGCACCATGTCCAAGCAGCTCCTTCCCTTGAATGACTACATGGGAGTCACTGAACAAAGAACCAGGCAGGCATTCAACCTCACCTTTGCTTCTGAGGTAGGCTCCAAGAAGCACAGGCGATTCCCAAGGCCCTCGGCTGCCAGGCAGAACTTCCTTTGCTCCTTGTGAACGTTGGCAATGCACTGCAGAACCACTTCATCTTCCTGCCAGGAGAGATCCAGAGAGTGAGTGGGGTGGGGCTGCCTCCCTGCCTTCTAGACCCCAACTACCCTACCATCTGAATTGAGCAGTTGTCAGTCTCCAATGGCAGGCGCAAAGGTTTTCTTTTGACTCGATTAAGGAAAGAAGATTTTACTCACACAGCTTGACTGGTGAGCGCAAAGCCAGTACAGGTTGAGTTATCAATAATCTGAAAACCAAAATGACCCAAAACCCAAACTCCTTGAGTTTTGACAGAATGCCGCTAATGAAAAGTTTTCTGCCTGATCTCATATGATGAGTTACAGTCAAAGCACAAGCACATTAAAATACTGTGTGAAACTATTTTCAGGCTATTGTGCACCAGCTGTGTATGAAACATAAATCGTTTTTTTGTGTTTAGACTTGGGTTCTCATCCTCAAGACACGTCATTATATAAACACAAATATTCCATTACCTGAAAAAATCTGAAAACAAAAGCACTTCCATCCCATGTGTTCGAACTGGATTAAGGATGCTTAACCTGACAGTGGGAGTGGGCATGCTTCATGCATATACACCAGGGGCTTCCCTTCTGAGATACATTAAGGGGCATGCACTCTAGGTGAACAAAGGATTTCAGCACCTGAGTAAATAAGGAAATATCACAGCGATCTTTTCAAACACTGCATAAAGCAGTAGGATGTGGTTGAGAGGGAAAGAGAACATAGAAGAGGTCAGAATGAGTGTGGTTAGTGGAGCGCAAGCTCACGTTAGGTTGTGGAAGATGCAGTAGGAAAGCGTGGTTGGGGGAAGGCAGTGTAGAGAGTGGGAAGCAGGTCCACCAGCGACAACAGACCAAAGTTACAGAAGGTCACAGAAGATGAATTCATACCCACAGCAAAAGAAGACTGAAAGAAGCTTTAAGACCCAGATGGAAAGGTGTTTAAGGTCAAGCAGAAGAGCCAAGCTGAATCTCCAGCAACAGTCTCCCTCCTGAGCAGCATCCTCCAAAGCAGCCCTCCTAAAATCTCAAAAGCTTTGTGTGAGTGGCTTCTCCTTGCTGCCTGGAAAGGAGGCAGCCTTCCATTCTTGCTATTGTCACACTTCATGGAGCCTGCCTGGAGCTTAAGAGGGAAACATTCTCCCCACAGTGTTCCCCAGCCCTGTTCCTCCCATTTGTCAGTCTACAGTTTCCATCAATTCACCACTATTTGCCATTGAATCTCAAACATTAAAAAGATTAACAGGAGCAGTTATGCTATAGAAACAACTAAAGAGGAGAGCTGTTTGGAGCTTCCTGGTTAGCGTTAGTGCATCTATTCCCTGGCCTTGTCCTCATTCTCCTAAGAGCTGGGTTTGTCTTAGAGTGTTGGAAAGGCAGAATAAGTACAAATGGTGTTTCATAATCTACGTTTGTGATGTGTTTTCCTTAAACTGTATCCATGATCTGTCTGTCATTGAAAAAAGTAAAACTCTCCACCTGGTGGGAGTGTGAATCTGTTCGCTAGTAGCAGATGCCCACAAAGATGTGATGTCGTGCTTAAAATAGGTGAGGGGCTATGGGAAAATATAAAGAGACACACCTCATAGGTGTATGAAAAGATACTGCAGAAAAAAGAAAGTCACAGTTTCCCTACACTTCTGCAATGTTCCTCTTCATTATTAAATTAAGCTAGTAGTAAATTCAGGAGCCTCTGTTTATATTGAAGTCAGAGTTCATGTTCTTCATTTCAATAGAGATGGAAGAAACCTCTAGGACATCACTTCTTCCAAAATGTGGGTTCATTCAGTAAGATTCCTGAAAAAAACCGACCTTTTTCCTCAAGGGGGCAACTCCCCCAGACCTCACATCAGATAGAGTTCTTCAAGACACTTAAAGGGCACTAACAATGGGAGGACACTCTTAGTTGTCACAATGGATGAGAGCTGCTGCTTGTGCTGAGAAGCAGACGTCTTGGAAGCTGGGTGGTCTGTGATGTAAAGGACAGTTCTCAAAGTCCACACTTCTTTTCATCAAAATCACCAAGAATACCTTCTTTTGGGAACTATTTCAGTGTTTCCTAACATAATTCATTTGTGAAAGCAAACAAATGTCAAGAAGAATCCAGAACCACTCATTTGGGAAAAACAGGAGTGTGACTATGCACCAGATTTTTCACAAACCAGTTTTCCTGGTTTCTTTTCTTTCATTGCTGGGACACAATACACAATGCCTAGAATTAAGAAAGGGAAGGTTTATTTAGCCCACATTCTGGGAAGGTCTCAGTCTGTAGTCAGCTGGCTCCAAGGCATGGCGGCTTGGCAAGGGCCAATGGTTCAAGGATGCAGAAGACAGCAAATGCAAGAACACAAGTGGGGGGAGCAAGCCTTTTTTTCTCCCTTTTATTGTAAGCAGACTACTATCCTAGGGCAAATGTAGCACTCATACAATCTCTGTGCCCTCCTCTTACACAAGATGAGGATGTTTACAGATTGAGAACCCTGGGTCCCTGATGAGTCACTTAAACATCTTGAGCTGACACATGTATCAGCCACTACATCAATGAAAACCTGAAATCTAGCAGTATTCCCTTCAACATGTGCCTTAGTGGGTCTCTTTCCACAATCATTTCCCACCCCTTTCCATTCCAAGGTGCCCAACTCACCCTGATGTGGTCTCTGCTAGTCTTCTACATTTTTTTGTCCTAAAGTCCTTACAATACAGGCTTCCAAGAAACCAATGGAATAAATGAACTTGCCTTTATTTGATAACCATTTGCTAAATAGTCCTGAACCAGCACGTCCCTATGTCAACAGTCTGGGTGACACACAGAGGAGTGTGGGACTCTGGGATAACATAAATTTGTCTAGGAGCATATGCTTAATGCTGACCAAGTTGCAGGCACCACTGGATGTGGCAACCCGAACCCACCTTTACTCCATACAGAAACTTGTCTCTGTAAACTTCGAATAGACAGATGTTGGGAGTTTTCTAGTGTTTGGCAATGAAATTTTTGCACTGAATTCCAGTTAGAGTCATAAGTAAAACTCTGAAGACACATATAGGCAAGGACTTTCTGAACAGAATTCCAATCACACAAGAAATAATATCATGAATCAACAAATAGGATCACATCAAATTAAAAAGCTTTTGTGCAGAGCAAAAAGGGAACAACCAACAGAATGAAAAGGCAACCTATAGAATGAGAAAAATGTTGCCAGCTATTCCTCAGAAAGAAGACTAATATCTAGAGTAAACAAAGAGCTCAGAATATTAGACTCCCCAGAATAAAAGACCTAACCAAAAAATAGACAACTAAGTGAACAGACACTTCACAGAAGAAATACAATTGGCCAATAGATACATTAACCAAAGGGTCAGCATTGCTGGCCATTGGAGAAATGCCAATCAAAATAGCACCAAGACTCTACCTGATTCCAGAAACAATGGCTATCATGAAGAAATCAATTAATAAGAAGCATTAATGAGGCTTGGAGGGGAAAACAAACTCTTGCACACTGTTGCTGAAAATTTAAACTAATACAACCACTATGGAAGTCAGTATGGAGATTCCTAAAGAAACTGAAAATAGAAGTTCTGTTTTCTCCAGCTATTTCCTTTCTAGGTATCTTCTCAAAGGAACTAAATGCATCATATTATAGTGATGTGTGCATACTGGTGTTCACAGCAGCGTAATTCATAATACCTAAATCTGGAAGTAGGCTATAAGTCCGTCAGAAGATGAATGGATAAAAATGTGGCATTTATACCACATGGAGTACTACTATGCTGCAAAGAAGGATAAACTTGTGTCATTTGAAGAAAAATGAATGTACCTTGATATTGTAATGTTAAGTGACATAAATCGCACAAGCCTAAATATCGCATGGCTCCTCTTACACGAGAAGCCAAAAATATAAATGAAGAGCAAAATAGAAAAGAGATAATAGGAAATATGGAGATAGAGCTTTCTCAAATAGGAAAGGGAACAAAGGATGGAGAGATGGGGGAGGGGAAGGAAAGGGAATGAAAAGGAATTAGAAGTGTCGTGTACAGGTACCAACGCCCCACGGGGACTGCAATCATTATGTACTGAAAGCAGGTACAATATTAATAAAAAACTGAAAAAATGAGATGAGTGGATAGATGAACTGAGGCATTTATTTTAAAATGGAATACTACTGTGCCATAAAGAAGGATGACTGTGTGTCTTTTGTAGGAAAATGAATGCACCTTAGCCAGCCATGTTAAGAGAAATAAATTAGACATGCAACGATTACGCAGTTTCTTTTAAGTGAGAAACCCAAAATATCACTAAGTAGCAAGATAAGAGGTATTTAATAGGAAACAGGCAGATAAATCTTTCCCAGTGGGAAGGGGGACAAGGAGAGGAGGAAGGGAAGGGAAGTGAGGGAAAAGGAAGAGAAAAGACTTGCACTGCATGATTTCATGTGCCAGTTCCTTGCCGTGCGTGTCCTCACTGCACACTGAGAGCACGTCCAAGCAAAAATAAAATCTCAGCATGAGAATTCCAGCCCGTCTCATCCCGTCTTTCCCTGGCACAACACAGCACAAGTCTCTCATCTACCAGCTTTTCCGAACTTGCTCGTCCCTCACCAACCTGCATTTTCTGCCTTCCGCTTGTCTCTCTTACTGCTTCGCGTTGCTCTACGTCACATCTGGCATTGCCTGCAGATACCACGGTCAGGGAAGCCCCTTTGGTGGGAAGTTACAAAATAATTTCACATTTTGTGTTTAGCTCTTCCAAAGCTTGCATTCTGGGCAATTTCTTATACTTTGGGGTTCCAACCACCGCCCACATCTTTAGCAACCTGTCAATATTCAAGTTACTTCTCTCATTATTTATCTGACTGATAAATGCCAATGAAGAAATCCAACACAAATTTTTAGGTAAATTTGACATATTTATTGACTATACTCCAATGGTAGCCCTGAGAGGACACTATGGACACGCTAGGTTTTATAAGGCAAATTCCATTAAAAATATAATAATGAAGTAACAGGCTGAGAAAGGTCAGCTC